AGTACTAAACAAGTTAAAGTCTCAAAGTCCTCCTCTTCCTATCTGTTCCCAAATCCAGAACCCAGATGTTATTTTTATAGATGATTTCTTCCAAATTAAAAAAAAATACTCTTTTGTCTCTTACAAAATTTTTCTACAAACTGGAAAAAGATTCTGTACGATGAGCTTATTCCACAACAAAGGAAAAAAGAAAAATAACATGAGCCATCACTTTATTACTTAATAGCCTGGCAAACATTAGAAAGCAAAGATGTAAGAGTCCTTGTGCTCTGTTGGTGGGAAGAACCTCAGGAGAGCCATTAAGTGCACGTCTGTCTAATGACACCACAATTATACCTCTGGGTATGCATTCCCAAGAAATCCTCATGACACTAAGAAGACATGTATGAGGATATTCATTACAGAGGTGGGAATTTGGAATGAATTCAGTGTATTTATTATAGGTAGGATTATAAATATGGAGGTCACATGCTATGGAGTAATGATTAGCATTTAGTAGCAACAAATTAAGTGCAGGCAGAGGGGAGGGTCATAAAATTACAGTGCTGAGTAAAGAGTGTCAGAGAACATGACATACAATACAAAACCACTTACAGAAATGAAAAAGAATGAACACAAAGTTGTAAATATATATTCTGTAAGGACCCACAAGGTATACTAATCCATTAGGATTCTTGGCCTAGGGGTTGTGAATGTGAGTGGAAATAGGGACAGAAAATAATGTATACATTTTTTAAAAGCAAGTGGTATACTATTCAAAGTGTAATAATAATAATGTATGATGAAAGGAAAATTATGAATCACTTAAGCCTTTGCTGAAGTTGAAACAAGCAAACATTCAGCCTATTATGTGATTGCTTGTTTTATGACTTAAATATAGAAGGGTATAAAGTAGTTTCTTGGAGAAAAGAAGGTTCTACCTGACTCTGGCTCCACTATAATCCCAGGACCGCTTTTGATTATATGGCAATGACGTTTGAACTATTTTTTAGAATTGACAAATCAAGATAGCTAAGGGCAGTGATGCCAAGAGCAGGTGGTAAAAGGGATAACATAGTTCCAATCTTAATAAAATCAATGGGTAAAAAGGTAAATAAGGCTGCATATATAGGAATCCATAAAAATCTAGAATCAACATCCTATTCCTAGTATGTTCTGTTTTTATCCCTTTATTCTCCTTATTTAAAGTGCCCATTTCTTACTTTATTCTCTTTAAAGTGCCCATTTATTAACCTTTCCTCCCTGATGGCTTTAATTTCTATTTGTAAGAGACAGGGTCGAGCTTGAACTCACTATGGAGCCCAGGCTGGCCTCAAACTCAGGGCAATCCATCTTCTCAGCCTCCTGAGTGCTGGGATTACAGGCGTGTGCAACACCATGTCTGGCTACTAATCTCATTTCTTATGGAAGATTCTGTTTCAGGACAAAAACTGGAATAATCTCCTTCCAACTCTTACTTTTCTACTCTCTCTCCCCTATTTCACCCATTCTTGTCGGAGTAAGAAACAGATATAGGTAAATGCGTGTTCTGTATTGTGCTGCTTTGGAGTAACCATATAACTGGCTTTTCACACCATAATTGTAAATGTGCTTTTCCATAAAGATGTTATCATACTTACTGAATTAGTAGACTTACATATAAGGCACGTTATGGTTTAAATCTGCCTTGTAATGTGACCTGGGATCCTATTCATGATATGTAGCATTTCACTTGGACCTCTTGCCACAGGACTTTCAAATTTTGGGTGTCATTCCTGTCACATTAGTTCAGAAATGCAAAATGACACTTTCTCAAAAATAATAATCCTAATTAAATCTCCACACTAGAATAGACTGTCTTGGAATGGTGATTCAAGAGGAGGAACAAATGATTCAGAGATAGCAATACTCAAGACTTAAACCTGCTAAGGTTTCTTGGGGCTCCTGAGAGACCACCATGATAGGAAGCACTATTTCTATAACAAAATACTGTATTCTAATACACCACAGTACATAAATGTCTTCAGCGGTTATTAGGAAATATGTTTTTGAACTATCTGATCCCTATTTACTATAAGCCCTTAAATATTTTATCTCTATTTTGTCAGCTACTACTTTTTAGTTTGTTAACAACATATACCAGGTTGCTATATTTAATTTCACAGGGTTGTAATCAGGAACAAAAGGAATGAAGTAAACCCACTTTATGATGTTAAGGAGCTCTACAAATATTATTGTATCAGTTTCTATGCAACATTAGAAGAATTGTACATTGCTCGCTGAGAGGAGAAACACTAACTCATATAGATTTAGTTGTAAACACTAAGTCGGCCTCTGTTCTGCAGCACATGTTTCTCTGTTACAGAATTAAAAACATAGATTTATGTGACAATAAATTTTTCTGCTAACCCAAGGTACTTTTAACTTCTGATTTAATTTTTTAAAAAAGCTACCAAATACTTATCCATAATTCTGGTATTGTAATTTTTCATGTAGATTTTAAATTTTTCAGAAAGTTAGATGGACTACCACAACAAGAATGCCAATCACAGGGGCTACTAATGATGATGATCTGGAAAGAAAGACACCCAATAAAAGAAGAGCTGCCAAAAAAATGAAAACAAAATCTGCCAAAGTCATTTCTTTTAACATTGATAATGAAGAAAATACATTTACAAAACTAATGCAAAAAAAAAAAAAGAAATGGAATGAATTGAGTCTTGTAAAAAATGGAAAACTCACCTAAGATATCTCCAGCAAAAACCAAATGAATTCCCTCATGCATAAAAATTGTTTGTTTCAGCCACTGGATAGTCTGAAGATCTATCAACTAATACACATGTATGATTAATAAAATTGACTGTGTCAACTTGAGTGGCTTGGGAGCTATCCACGAGATTGGTGGATGACACTTTTTGATGTGTCTGGGTGGGTCATGGAAGTGTGACCTGGGTACTTTGTCTAGACTCTCTTCTGTTCTGACATTATTCCCCTGCTGTGCTTCTTGGCTGTCCTGATCTAAGACTCTTTGCCCTTTCATGTCCTTCTGTCTTGATCTTTCTCCCTTGGAGTCAGCCTACCTTGGACTAAATCCCCTGAAACTGTGAGCCAAATTATACTTTTCCTCCTTTCTTCTGTGAGTATTGGGAATTGAGACCAGCAATGGTCAGCTGACTAATACATCATGACTCTCAAAACTGCCAGTGCTTTTTTGAAACACAGTTACACTCAACCTCCTTTAAAATAGAAGTTGAGAAAAAAAATTTATTTTTAATAAAAAATGTAAAACTTTTTACCAAGAGAATAGAGTAAGATTCAAATGAACTATAATGATCTTTGATTCCCTTAACAGTTTGGAATGAAAAACATGTTTTAGGTCAAAATGAAACTACTACTAAAAATTTAAAAGGCCTTTCAATAAAAAAAAAATCCTATCACTTGAAATAAATGGAGGTCAGATATCTCAGCCACAACATGTTCCATGTGTCAGAAATATCTTCCAGACAGGAACTGAGATGTTAACTTCATTTTGTCTTGAATGAGACAGAAAGCTAGAATCGGACACTGGAGATGATGAGAAAAATTTTATTTATACAGCAGTTGGTCAAATAAGTTTCCTTACGAAGGAAAGGCTCAAACAGTTTGGAGGCCTGGTGAATGACTGTGAATAAAAGCAAGATGAAAAGTAGACTACCTACCTGTACAGATCTTGATGGATCTGGGGAAATGTGTAGTTTGCTGATAGAAGATACAAATCAAAAATTCAACAACTGAGCAAACTTTAGGAAACTAAATGACACACAAAAATACTACTAACAAAAAAAGTCTTTTGGAAAAAAAAGTTGTCTCAGGCATAGAGAGTAGACCAAACAGGACAGTAATAGAAGGATTGCAGGTGTATGCAGTCTAGCTGCCATAGGAAATGCAGTAAGAGAGACTTAAGCAGAAAGAATAGCCTCTGTGATAACAAAGGACCTTTGTTTGTAAGGTACTAGTGTTTGTTGCTGGATTTATTAGAGCTAAAAATCCCATTAAGTCATTCTCCAGACTTTCTGTTCTGAATGTCTTTCTTAGAGATATAGAATACCTGTCAACAATGCTGTGTCTGAGCTGGACTGAACTGGGCCTTCCAAGTCAGATGTCATTCTGATTCTCAGAGTAACCAAAAGGGAACATATTGGTGAAAGCAAGGAAGCCTTTAATTTCAAATATTCCCCAAAGCAGGTACAGCATGGCTTAAGATGCTCACTTTCCTGGATTACAAGATTTAACTGAAGCAAACCATGATACAAATAAGTTAAATTTTGAAATATACCATTTATCTCATGAGAGAATGAATTTGGTCCTTCTTGCTAGTGGAGTAGCACATGATGTTAATATGAATGAAAAAGAAATTTTAGATGGTGTGGAAGAAACAGGACTAACAATGCTTCATTTACATCACAGGATGTTTTGATGAGTAGCCCTGAAAAAAACATAGCAGCACAAAATAATACCCCACAACAAGAAGAAACTAACATTTTTCAGTTGATACCATTTGATAATAATAGTATTATTATGGATTTCTACCTGCTTGATTAAACAGCAGTAATCCATTCCTTCAGATGGGAAGGGGACCTTAAGAACATGCCAGATACCTTTCCTTTGGTAGTAACCTGATCTGTTTTCATCTATAACTTCCCTAACAACCAAAACAATTTTCCATTTAAGACCCCCCCCTTTCCACTTTTCAATGCTATGATATATTCTCAGACTACTGCAAAATACCAGAATATGTATTTGCGTTCACTTATTTTCAATCTACTTATATAGTGTCACATGTTTTAATATCCAGTGTTCATCAAAGTGTATTTTAAATATGATAATTTCTCAAGGGAAGTGGGAATATTCTGTATAAGGATCATGCAGCATAAAACTATGAACTTTGCCTCTTCTGTTTAAAATGTATAGGCTTAAAGGTAATACAATTGTCTAGAGTTTATAAATATTCATCAGTTTAATTGAAATATTCTGTTAAACTTTGACAGAATAAAAGGTAGTTGGACACATTTTGAGTACTACATCTTGTGAATCCACAGGAACATGAATATCTGACCTCTTCAGGATAATTTCTACCATGATTTCAGATCAACTAGGTGTGGCTACTCTAAGAAGACTTTTTTTTTTTTTTCCACAGCTTGTCTTGGTTCTTTCCGAGCTGGATTATTCACTGCTGCACGTCTGTCCACTAATGGATACCCTGATTTAAGGAGCTGTATCAATGGTAAGGACCTCTGTCATACATTTAAATAGTGAAAGAAAGTAGAAATCCTGCAAGTACAGCTATGTTAATATAAATTGATGTTTAAAAATCAACAAGTGAGTTCTTAAAGGATTGTATCCTCCTCAGGGAAGTGTTTTCAGACTCCATAAGAAAGAACGTCATTCATTTGTAAATGCTGCTCTTTTACCAAAAATGACATTTTCTCTAATGTTCAAACTGAATAGTATTCCTTGTAAGCTCTAGGTCATTGACTTCAGAAACTGTATTTCTAATGGCTTTGTTCTGGCTGTTGTTGCATAATTGTATTATATGACCAAAATGTTGCAGTTGATTAATAGATCAGACTAGAGCCATGTTTATTCTTCAAACTTTTTAAAATTAACAATGTAAATGTGAAATACATTATGTGAATCAAATTAGCTTGCATCCTCTGAAGTTTACTAGTACCTAGTGATAATTCTAATTGATTATTTTTCTCTAATTTACCAACTGATAAAAGAGAAAAAGGTGAAACTGCAAGATATAAATTGAGAAGTTTTTTCAGTTAATATTTTATTCTCAGCCCTGGCATTATCAAGATATTCATTTATCTTCATTTTCTCTAATTTAAAATGGTTGTAATCACACGGGTAGAACAGGTAAACACATATATTTACTTCATACTTCATCTTTTTTTTTTTTTT